TCCAGGTCGCCCAGCAGGCCCAACATCCGTCTGAGCAAGAATGGTGAGCGGCGCCGAACTGTCCCTTCTTTCCAGGTACAGGCCGGCGTTTCTCGTTCCCGCTGGTTCACGAGCCGGTTTCCTGTCCTGCCCTTTCAGATAAGAGGGAGCTCCTGGAAATTGCAAGAGCCAACGCCGCCAGGGCCCTCGGGGTGGATGACTTGGAACTGCCGGACAGCGTGAAGGCCGAGCTGCTGGCGGACGGGCGGGAGAAAGGGGTGAGGCGAGAGAGTACCACTCTGAAGGGTCTGAAGGAGGTAGGTGCGATGTGTATTGGAGAACTTTTCTCGGGTAGCTGTGCTCCAAGCGTGAACAGGCAACATGGGAATGTCCGCTGTGAACTGGGGGCGGCGATGAGACGGAATTGTTAAGTAGACTCCCGTTCCTTCTTTCCCAGTGTTGCGCCCCTAAGCAGATGATGCCGCAAAGCGTCCGAGGATGATGGGCACGTTAGGCATTCTCTGACTGGCCTTGCCATGTTTCTGCCACATAGGCACGTACGTGGTTATGGTGAGGATAACGTTTCCCAGCCAGTTTGTGCTATTTGACTGGATGGTTTGAGGAAAAATACTGGGCCAGTGGTTCTATGTAGCTAGGGATTAAGCTAGCTCCTAGTCTTAGTCCCATGTTTCCTGTTGGGTTACAGCAGTGTGTTGTGTAGTAGAGCTTTTGGGAGCTCTGCCTCAACCTCTGATTCAGTTAGATCATGTTTAAATTCAGTTGGTTTAAGTTGGATTCTTCTTCACGGCGTAGTTAATATCAGTAACAAAACTTAAATTGATTTAAGCATGAAAGCAACTACTGAAATGGTCTAGAATCATATATGAGCTGTATTTTATTCATGGTCTGCTGACACTTTGTTGCATTGTCTGCAGTGGGATTTTACTTATTCTCCAAACTACTACACAAAAATCTGCTATTGTCTTTTTTTCCTCCCATACTGTTTTCAGGTAAAAGATTAGACTTTCATGCTCTATTTCTGTTTTATAGAAAACTTGAGTGTGGTCTTCAGTGCCTTGGTGAAGAGAATAAGGTGGTAATGCGTGGCATGGTGTTTTGGGGAGGGTTGAATTTGTTGATGACCAAAAAACATAATTTTATGGGTGAATTGTAGAAAACTAGTTTTTCAGGTCCTTTAAGTGAGTACTGTGTACTTTGCGGATTTAATCTTAATGTTTTTATTTTTGTATATGTATTAGTATGCCTTAGTACTATATAACTGATTTTATTCATGTTTACATGATTAATAGAACTTTCAGCTCTTTGAACAAGCTGAAGACTCCCAGGTTTCAAATGTTATTTTTTACACTGTATTCCAGATAAGAGATCTTGTTAAAGAAGAAGAGCCAAGCTGCTTATGCCAAAGATAAGTTATTTGCACAAATAGTGCTGGGTTGAATCTCAATGTGAAGAAAAAGCCTTTGGTACACAGAAATGAGAATGGTACCTTCTAGAAAAACGCGTCGTGGAAGAGATTAGGTGCATATTGCACCAATTCACTTTTTAGAGTTCCAAGAAGTGATTCGGAATAAATGGTTCTCATTTGTCAAATGTATGAGGCTCTGCACCCATACCCTGTAGTAACAAGGTTAAACTGTGGAATGAGCAGGTTTGTAGTAGTGTATTTACTATATATTCAAAGAAATTGGGTACTGATGACTTACCTTAATAAAGAAGTGGCACATCTTAATCTTTCATGCATGTAATGTTACTGAAGTTTCTGATCTTAATGTCTTAAGTAGAATATTGCTCAGATACTATTACCAAGTCTAAAATGGCATTTGTTTTCTTCTTGCAGCATAATAAAAAGACTGAAGCAGAAGAGGAGTCTCCTTACACGGAGATGTCACCTAAAAACAAGTTGATTGTTTTCAGCCCAAAAGTAAGCAAATGTTAATCTACATCTTTTTTTTCCAGCTCCAGCTAGCACTACCTAAATATAACCTTTTTTTTTCTTTTTTTCAGAATGCTGTGGCAAAGCCATCATATTGCACACAACCAGGCAGTCCTGAATCCACAGTCAAGTTTGAAAGCAAGAAAAACGGATACCCTTATGGACTTTGGGTACCAGTCGCTCAACAAGCAAAAACTAATGGGCTGTTTTCAAATATATCTCCCAAAAATTCCTTCATAAAGACGCGGTAGCTTCAGGAGCAAGTGTTTCTGTAAATTTAATGTATTTTTTTGTACATAGAATTTATATTATATGGGGAGGGTGGGCTGTTAAAAATGGTTTTAAATATTAGATGTTTTCTTTCAGATGTTATGTGAAATGAAGACTGGACAAGATTTCATACAGGTGGGAATTTTAATCTAAACTTGTTACAGTGAGTGTTTTGCATTTGTATTTTTTTTCATCCTCTTGGTCCTTGAATAAAAATAAATTTGAAACTGGGTGTTTTGAGTGGTTTTGTCAAAACTGTGAAGTTCCTTCAGACACGGTTCATACAAAGACCAACTTTTCAGACAAAAATGAAATTCAACAGCCATGAAATGGATGCAGGTAATTAAGTTACTAGGGATTCCTTCCTGTATTCATTCCAGTGAGCTGCAAGACACGCAGGTCTCCAAATTGTTCACTTAACTTTTAAAAGTCTAGGCACACTGTTGAGCAAAAATCACATAGGATAACTTTTTGGTTTAAGAAATTTTAATTGTTTTCAAAACTTTCTGATCTATAGCTTTTTGAGCACGAGCATTAACAGGTATTTAGTCCTCCCCACCCATACCTGGGTATTTAGATCCACAGTGTAGACACCTTTAACAAATCTGCCCATAAAGCCTCCACAAAGGTTTACACAAAAGACTGGGGTGCGTGTCCTCTTCATGCAGGGCAAGAAATCAAAGTTTGTAAATGAATAGTGATGGGAGGGCTGTCTTTCATCACCTCTGCCATGGTCTTGAGCCATTTGTGTTGTCAAAGTTATTGGCAGAAACATGAACATGGCAGTTCTTCACAGCTAAGTTGATTGCAAAATTCTTTCATTTTCCAATTTCTGACTCTTCAGAGCTAGACGACATGATTTTTGTAGTTAGGTGTATGTATAATTTTTATTAAGTAAAGCCATAATCCTGTTACCAAACCTATGCAAGTCAAAAACCTAATGGAGTATAACACTACAGTGTATGTAATTGGGAATTGGCTTCATCTTGATACAGGATTGCTGCCTGTCTTTAATATTGAAACCACATTCCGAGAAATATCTGAACTGTGTTTCTTATGATAATGAAAGGATGATCCAATGTACTAATAACCTTTTCTCTGGGATGGTTTCAGATGAATAAATTGAAATGAGTAAATCTCATGCCAACAAGCCCACATCCTGAAGAATTTCCTTAAACTGTCTCAAGACTTGTAGTTTGAAATTTATTCTACAAATGTTCTTGACGCTTATAGGCACATTTACCAGGAGAGGGCAGCGCTGGATGTTTTATACTGAGTCGTCCAAAGTGTTTTCTCAGTTAATCTGAATACTGTAGGTGCTACTCATGTAGAGATTAAATTGTATATGCCTTATTTACTTAAGGAGACAAATGTGTATTTTAATCTTCTTTGGCTACAATGTATAAAAAACATACTATTTCCCAAACGACAGTTAGTTTTAATATAGATACAGGGTGCATGACGTCTGTGGACCAATGAGTATGGTACGTTGTTTTGAACAGTGATTTTAATTAGTTCTTTGAAAGATCACACAGTTTCACATTTCATGCTTGAGTACATTTTCCATATATCATCCAGTTGTTAAATTACAGAGGTGTTTAGGCTTCTGGCAGCTACACTAAAACTTCTTTGTTCATTAAGTACACATGGGGTTGAATGGTTTAACTTGCACACACTCTTTTGAACATGTTCATTCCTGATGCAAGGTAAACTTTAGCATCTTATTAGAGCTCATTAAACAGATCTCTGTGCTTCTAAAAGATGGGCAATGTTCATTTAGATATCTTCAGACTCCCCCATCCCAATAAAAATTGTTTGAATTCCAAAGCCTAGTTTAAAAGCTGTTTAATCATTACCAACTCTACCTGAAAATAAACAGAAATAATGAAGCATTATAAAGTCATCAAAGTAAAAAGAATGAATCAGTGTCTGCTGTCTGGGTTGCTTTGAACCCCCATATAAAAGGAGACGAAAACAGGAGAGACTGGATGATCAAACCCTTTGACTGTCCAGTCACGCTTTCCCACACAGCTAGGGAAACACATTTTCAAAGCCAGTTCTCTCCGGTGTAACCTTTTCCACAGGTTATTTTTAGAAATGTGATCATTGGCTGTAATCCTATTCAAAATATTTGTTGGTCAAAGAACTTAATACGTTAACGATTAAGATGCACTGAAATGGAAAAAAACAACAATCCCAGATCAGTGTATAAACAAATGTAAGATCACTTGAACAGGCTGTTGGCCATATATATTTCTCCTGTGTGACCCGCAGTAGGATACTGGGATTTTGTGTTAAGGTATGAAATGTGAAAAGGCTTTTAATGAATTTAAAGCATTTGTTATTTACATATGGGCACCTTCAAGTTACACCATGTCTAGCCATGGTAAAGTACTTGCACAATAATCCATGTTTTTCACTGAATCACAGGACAATTGTCTGTATCTGTAATAAATCTTGTACCTCAAGATACTTCAGAGATCAGCATTGCATGGTGACAAACTTTTAAGTGGTAGGTGTTTCTATTAAACTACGATTCCTCTAAAAAGCTGCTCATTGATAGTATGTTTAAGCAGACCAATTATGTCTGATTAAATAAAATGACAAACACTAAAACATAAAAACTGTTAATAGAATCATGATACGTAGTTAACACCTGAACCCCTCTTTGTTGTTCATTACATTGTATGCATAGACATTCATCTTCTTGTAAGTTTAGAATCTGCAGGCACAGTTAATGAAAGTTACACCTCTGGTTGGAATAGTTGTGTCTTGTTTACATGGCATATGAGATAAGCATTTTGCTATTGCCAAGAGGCAATTCCAGCCTTAAATTGGGCACATTCTCATAAAAACACATTTTGTGTCATCCTGTCACTTTTTAAAAAACTGTTTCATGTTTACAGCTTCACACAAAGGAGTCATTAAGTAAAAACACAAATGCCCCTTTTCAGCAGAGCTTGAGAAAAATGTTAGAAGCCACCCCTTCCAGGCAGACTATTTGATGTTTAATTTCCTCTTAATGTCACAGACACCAAAGCAATTATTTAAGTTTGTCACATGAATTTAATTTTCATTCACAACCGGAGTTAACCCCACAACTTTCTTTTGTAAATAGAGAAAAAAAACAGTCTTGACGGAGGCACAGACTAATTGTGGGGGAAAATTAAAATAAAAGATGCTTCGATGTTTGAAGTCTAGTAATCTCACAGAACAAATTACCTTTGGCAACGGTTACTCACCGGTGACGGGAAAGTTATTTTAGAAAAAAAAAGGCTGCTCACTGTTGGTGGCAGGTGCTTTTTTGTGGTCTCCATGATGCTGTCATGAAATATGGTAGGGTCACTGCATAGCTGGAAGGGAAACATCTGTGGAGGAGAAGGGTTTCCAGAGAACAGTACGAGAGAGCTCTTCGCATCGGCTTCTACATCAGAGAAACCAGAGAAATGTTCAATGAAAAACCCTTAATTACGTCCGACTCCCACATTTAGGACCGCCAAGCATGTGCCCACCCCCTCCCCCATTAAAATGGTCACTGTCAAATACAATACTAATCCCCCCGGTACGATGCCCGAGAATTCATTTTCAGGTAAAGGTCAAGGATGCTTAAAAAGATTCCATTCGTCCAAGATGATGGCATACAAAGACCAGGACATCTGACTTACATTACGCTGAAGCCCGTGAAGTCTTGCATTTCAATTGTCATGCAAGGAGACTTTCCAGGACCTCGCAGAAGTTAAGCCTCTTTCTTTAAATCCACTAGAGGGAGCAGTCAACCACGCTTTAAATTGTCGGAAACATCAGGCAAAGTACAAAATGGTCAACGCATGCTCTCGTTAAACTTTGATCTTTTGACAGGTCACAAGTCTTTTCTTGTATCATATTGCTTTAAGCCCACTGGCATAAACTGAGATTTTGAAAGATCATATGAATACCTAAATTGTTTTCCCTCTTCTGGCTGAAGATCTAAGATGGATTCCCCCCCCCTCCCCAAACACCCAGTATTGTTTCTGATAACTCTTCTGATAAGTGGATACTAAGAAGATACACCACTTTGATACTGCTCCAACAAAAGGAAGGAGATCAAATTTTATTGTATGTCACCTGACAGTTGTATATGGTCCTGCTACACTATATCTGCTAGAGCTGGAGTACAAACTAACCTGTCTGTAGAATCTTACAGTAAGAAAGCATCATTCAGATCTTTTGTAAAAATCATTTAATAGCAATAAATGAAAATTAGAACATTTTTGAAAAACATCTTCTATTTACAAGACTGATCATTGAGAAGATAAAGTTTTACAATCCATGCATATTTCTCCAGTTTAGTTAGAAATATATGAAGTAACCATCCAAAAGTCAACAAAAGATGTCATGTTCCATATCTATTGACAACCTCCTGATCGAAGGTGAACACAAGCATTACTGGAAAATCTTGTACCATCAGGATAGTAATGCAAAAAAAAAACTAACAGTGATAGGCTGATCATCTTTTCCATTCTTCCTCACTATATAAAGACCAAAAGTTATGAAATAATATCTGTAAAATCAACTACCAGCAACAAAATTACAAGGAATTGTTAAAACATTTTATTGAACTATAAACATGATTGAATAATGAGAAGATACATCCAAAAGATTACACGGTGACATATTTTAACTTACAAAAAGCATTCTACTTAAAAAGGGCAGCAAAAAAAACTTTAATTCTTAAACTTTCATCGTTCCTACATGCAAAGATTAAAAACTTTGCATACGTTTCGGAAACATTCCCATCTGTTACTTATTGTGATGCTTGGTCTTTGTGGTTCAAGGAAAGTGAGCTCTTATTTAAATGGTGTGGATCAGTATAATACTTGGAAAGAACGAACCCATGGTTCGCCTTCACATTCAGAAAAAGGGTTTCCTCCTGCTCAACATAATGCTATCCCTGATGACAACAAATGAACCAAACCTTCAAGGTTCTGCATGTGCACTGAATTCATGGGATGTATGCACACAATATTAAACTGCAGTGCCTCTTTCCAGGTTTTGCTTGATCTCAGCAGTGTATTTTCCATAGAATCTCTCGGCTTTCTTGTTGAACTTGGCGTTTCTCTCATTGATGTAGTCGATATCGGCATCATCATTGTATGCCCGGCGCCTGCTGTATTTTGACCTCTTCGCAATCCTGAAAAAAGGAAAAGGAAAAAAAAACTTATTCAGAAAAGAAGAAAGCCCTTCAAACCTCGGAATGCTATAATTCAGTAATGGCACCAATACCCATCAAATATCAATTAACTATCTCACATAGTTATCTTACCTATTGTATCGTACAAAGTCAAGTATCTTTTGACCTCTTAGAAAATATATTTCAAGTCGTAGCAGCTCTTCTGCAAAGAATCCTATTCTCACCCTCCACCTCTCCAACAAGAAATCTTCAGTAATATATTAAAAGAAACCAATGTATTCATTTTGTTGCGAGTAAGGTGAGCCAAGCATGTGGTATACTGTTGGTCGGAGTCCCAGCCACACAGAATGGCTGATCAGAACTGAGGACTCATGGCGCCAGCCTTGCTCTGGGCTGAGGACTGGAATTTGACTGTGGATTTGTCACTTCATCACGTGTGGAGACCTCTACCAAGCAGCTGCCTACTAATCCCAGATATGAGCCATGTACCCATTGTACTCAGCAGTTAGTCAATATCCATTTATTTGGTTCACTGAGCAAAAAGAGGATCTGAGCATGACAACAAGATAAAGCAGAATCTATTTGTCTTCGCCCCTTGCTATTTTTTTCCCCCACTTTATTTTGGCTGACACTTTTATCCGAAGCGAGTTACATTTGCACCATTTCATAATTGCAGCATCTCACCGGGATTTGAACCCACACCCTTCCAGTTACCAGTCAAAAACCCTGACCACTGACCCCCTAACAGTCATCAACAGCAAGATGCCCTGTGCATGTCGCTCTCACACAAAATAAGCAAATAAGCTTAAGGAAGCTGAGAAGAGGTGAAAGAATTAAACCTGACAGTTCAAAAACACAGCATGATAAGCATGTAGCAGAAAGCACGCTGTGGAGACTGAAGATGCATTCAAGCCCTGTGAGGGAAGCAATTCTTCACGGCAATGGTAACTGACGCACGGTCCAATTTATCAGATGAATCCATTTGATTTTAAACACCGAGACTATTCAAGACAAAACTGGATACCACACTGCAATTATCGAGGATTATTTTAGGACAAACCCAGCAGTCCATATGTGTTATGTGCTAAATTATCTCACACAGAATATAAAGCTTTTTTTACATTTTACCAATCACAACTAAATCCTTAAGGTACTGAGCATTCACTTTACACCGCCCATAGTAACTACACACCCTGTAATAACCGGCAGTTAGAATTAATGCGGACTTTTAATGAATTTGTTACTTACTGTTTCTCGACATCAGCCACCATCCGGTCCATCCCTTCTTTAGTCGGCACATGGGTGCCGTGCAGCAGGCTGTTGGATGTTGGGAAGAAGTCATCGCCGCTACAAGTAAGAGACCACATTTTCAGCTGAACACTGAGTCAGTCAGCACAGCCCAACACTGTGGACCAAGGCACAGTAACTGCTTAACACTGTGTGAAACAACACATGGCTTCTAGCTCTGCCTCTGTGCTCTGCTAACAAGCAGCACTGACCTCCACTTGCCCCAAGCCATATCTAATAAAGAGTATGCATCAATGAGTGTCCACTGTTTCAGCAACTGAAAACAATGGGGAAAAAAAAACACATTAAATGATCCACAATCATTATCTTACCATTCTTCCCGCTGTTTTTCATAGCTTTCCATGTCAGGCTTAATCTGCTTGGTGAGTCTTTGATACTGCCGCAGCTGTGCTTCAGCATAACCTGCCGGATCAATGAAAACTTCAGAATCATAGTGTTTGGTCAAATAGGCCATTTAATGACTGAAAGAAATGAGACGCAGATATAAAAAAAGCAACAAAAGCTGCATCTCATTAAAAGGGGGAGAAAATTTAGTGCGACCCCAGTACAAGAATTTTCCACATTCATTTTCAAAGTGCTCTGATGCAACACATGGTTGCCATATTTATAAAATCACAACCATGGTAGCACATTCTACAGCAGTCAATTAAAAATGATTTATCAGAACAGCTTTACATGGATCAAGATGTAACAGGAAACTGTGATGCATCCCTGCCTTTGTGTCTAAATCTGAATTATAAATTCAATCCTGACTCCTTAGTTTAATGTTTTGCATTCCTCATTCATGCAGCAACAATACTGTAGCATGATAAGCCTCCAGCTTTGTTTCTGTATTTTAATTGTACTGCAAAGCTGTTGGCTGGAATGTCATGTTTTAAGAGGGTTTAGAACTGTGAACATAATACACAACCCAGTTAATGTAGCTGAAAAGCTTACTGAGCAAATGGCAGTTGTGTAAAGTCACACCGAGCTCTCATATTAAGATATGACACCGACTTACACAGATCACACCTTACTCCAAAAAGATTATACCTGTACAGAAATGACTGTGCTTCTTAAGCTCAAATTTATGAACCATGCTGACAACTTCTTACTTTTTTTTTTGAGATGGGAGTGTTATCACCTTCAACCTCGGGAGCTAATATTAGGAAAACAATGCAATGCCCTTCAAGAAGACCATAAATATAACTCTGTTATATTCTGTTAAAGGTTGCACTACAGATTTGATTTTTTCCAACTACAGAATTGGTAGCTTTCTTAAATTAGCTGTGGTGGCCACCAGAAGGTGTGTCACATATAAATGGAATTATTCAGATTGTTATTTCTTTGTGGACTCAAGATATAAGTACCACAACGCTTTGGAGAACAGAAGATGTAAGAATGGATTTAGAAGCAGTCCACATTTATTCAGACATAGGCAAATTTTTGTACTATCTTCTTGAAAGGTAAGGTTCTGAAAATATAAAAAGACAAGAGTGCAGTCTGTTTTTAATTTTTGTTGAATTGCCAAATAGCACTGACAACTCAAACTGTTAACTTCATTTTTTATGTTACAAATCCAACCAGAAAAAAAAATGCCATGAAATGTTGGGATCAATGAGCTAATGACTATGACATGAGCAAGATGTGGTGAATGGGCTCTTTATGTTGGAAACCTACGCAGTCTTATGCAAGTTAGGTATGAAAGGTAGGCTCCACCTAAGGACAGAATTTCGAAAGCAGGCGAGTGCTGCAGAAGGGCGGGCATGTGTCTGGTAGGACAATAACAGCACTAAATCACACACCCGAGAAGCCTGGATCTGGATTCTTCTTCTTCTTTTTTCTTTCCCATCTTTCTGCTTCGTCGGCACTGATCTCCAACAGCTTAGCTCTCTCAAAGTCCTCTCCTCTTGCTGCACATTCCTGAAAATGACATTTTTTTCCAATTTCAAAAATCGGCGCTGGGATAACCCGAACGCCTCGTCCTCCACGTTAACAATGCTTGTCGTCATCATCAAGTCCAACGAGCTCCTATTCCATTCGGGGTCACGGTGGCTTGAAGCCTATCCTGGGAATCACTGAAGGCAAGGCAGCACAGGATGTCAGTCCACTCACACGAGGGCCAATTTCACAGAAGCCAATTAACCTATGAGCATGTCTGTGGACTGTGGGTGAACTCACGTGAGCATGGGGAGGACAGACAGCACGCATGGAAGTGAAGCCAGGGCACCCGAGCTGAGGGGCAGGCATGTTAATCACCACCCCACCATGTCTCCTAATAACGTTTGCATATTTCTTCCACAGTGGCAAGGTGTTGAGGGAGTTAGTTCTTCACAACTCATTGGTCCTGGGTCTGATTCCCTAGTGAAGTACTTTTTGTTTGAAGTGCACATTGTTCCCCCCCCCCCACCCGAATGCTCAAACTTCCTCCCACCTTGCAAGGAATGCCGGCTAGGATAACCTGTTTCTATCCTGTGCCATCCCATTCAGGGCAAAGTTCTGGGATAGGCTCTGGGAGGCTAAGGATTACACAGCCTTCTTGAACGGCTGGAGATTTCGCCCCCCCCCCCATGATTTCAGTTAGAAATGTAACGATAAGTTAGAAGCACTGTGGTCCGGAATTAGCAGCACAACTTTGCAAACGTAGTCTTGACCTGAACATGTTCTGTAGTATCCCTGTCTTTGTGAGCACAATGTGCTTCTAGGAGTTTTATCCAGAGCCAAAGATTTTGCCCTTTTCTTTCACCCAAGAAAAAAATAAGGAAAGACATAAGCAAAAGGAGATCCCAGACTTGTATGTGCATACACATGCATGCACAGTTTCACATGCATCTCAGATGTGAATATTTCTGCACTATAGACATATATGACCTAAATTCTCAGTCTTCAAGAAGAATGGAGCCCATGCTCTAAACAGTGAAGATTCTGCAGCCCTTCTGAGAGTCCTTTGGTTCAGTTACCTATTAGATCCATTCCAATATAAGCTCTTATAATACATTTAGTGACACCTGGATGCTAAGGGTCACACAACCAACTAAGAAGAGTTTTAGTTACCTTTTTCTTTTCATTCTCATTCAGTTCCCACTCCAGTCTGGCTTTCTTAGCCTCCCAGTTTGGAGGAAGTTTAAGCCTCTTGTCTTCTTCTACAACCTCCTGATGGTTGAGCTTGCGAGCTTCATTCTGTTTCAACATTATCATGATAATGCATGAGTTTTCACTGCAAATATTAACATTATATAACCCAGCATAATGGCCATTTCATGAAAGAGTAAAAGCTCAAGTTCGTAACAGTTCATTGTTTTATAAGTAACACACTGTAAAATCAGAGTAGATTCTAATACAATAATCACTTGCTTCATTCAGTATTTTATTTGCACTAGATGAGGGGTAATGAAAGGCCAGTTCGCAATGACCACAATGATTTTGATTTGTAACAACTCAATGAATGGTTTACCTACATGACAAAGGGTTGGAATTGGGCCATGTCTGCCCATGTCTGGCCTAGTGGCGGAGAATCGATATTACTTTTTAATGACGGGATGATGCCTCTGGTATAGCTACCATAGTTATTTAAATCAAGGTGCTGTACAATTTTGGTCCCCGCATTATAAAAAACAACATTGTTGCTCTTGAGTCAGTGCAGAGAAGAATAACCAGGTCCTGGCAGCAGAAACAGCTGAATAAGATTCCTGAAGCAATTAACCTTCAGCAACCATATTTGTTAGATTGGCATCCTCTCTTTCTTATGTCCCCATGTAATTTTATGATTTTTTTGTACAGACGAATAACAAAAGAGGATCACTTCTATTGTTCTCAGAGCTTTGTGCATTTCCCTCGTTCAAGCCATTCTGGGCTTGGCAGTTTCAACGCGTATTACAAATGAAACAAAGCTTCTGTATAACTCATGAGTCAAACACAGGGGGAACGAATATGAAACGATTTCTAACCCTCTTGAAGTGAAGCTCTCTGAACTTTCGCAGCCTGTCTTCTCTCTTCTGAGCTGCTGTGCTTTCTGAGGATTCCTCATTTGTGTCTGCAACAGCAACCTGGAACAAAATATTAAGCTGACTAAAAATGAGACCATTTTCACAAGACACGTGAAAGAACCGAGAACAGACAATCTATTTCAGAGGCTCCCAACTCCAGCACCTCAGAGCTGGGATCTCAGAATGTGCCCCATGTCTCCTTAAATTGGCAACAGCTGAAGGGTCTAGTGAAACGATCAAGTGGCCCATTTAAACCTTAATTAGTTAAATCACTGTGGCTGGAAGGTTGCTGGTTCGTATCCCGCGGCCGGCAGAGGAATTTTACTCTTTTTTAAAACTCATTTTGCCCTTAACCCCAACTGCTTCAGGGGTGCCATATAAATGGCTGACCCTGCGCTCTGACCCCAATCTTCTCTCCCTGCCTGTGTCTCATGGAGAGCAAGCTGGGGTCTGTGAAAAGACAAATACTACAAATTGTATATGGCCGATAAAGTGATCTTAACTAGTTGTTCACGTGTCTGAACCAAAAACCTAAATTGTCTTTTATAATTATGTACCTATAGAAAGCTGCGGTACAACCATTTCCAATTACTAGCCCACCCTGGGAGCCTGTTGCGGTTTTAAAGAAATACATGACTTTGTCGTTACAAAACCAAATAAAACATACAACAATCCGAAAATAGTTCAATCATACAATCACAAGCAGTGCATTAGAAGTACTTAAGTCTACACACTGGCTCCTCTGTAAAGGAACTCGTGGAAAAAAGGATATTAAAAACATCATTCCTAAAAGGTTTTTAAAGTTTCAAATAGTTACAAAAAGAAACCAGGCGTGTATTTCCCGTAATATATACTGTATAGGTTAAACAGCGTTGGACTACCGCTTAAGAATCACCATTTCCAAAGCCAGATAAGAAAGTTTCAAGATTGTCACAGTAGCTTGTGCGTTTTAAAAAACGAAAGTTCAAACAGAAAACTGGCAGTTCAGCGACAGAATCGAACATTTCAATAAGGTATTTTTCTGTTTACTAACCTCCATGCCCGACGCCATCTTGACGGAAGTGTCTGATGCAAAAGGAAGTGAGGTCATCTACCCGAGGGCCAGAGGCAGCTGTCATGCCTGTTGTCGTTTGTTTTTGTCGGTTTTTGTGTCGTAGTCATGCACGACAACGCAAATAAAATATTTCATTTCTGATGATTGTATATCTGTGTATTGGCAAAATGTCTACAGTTACCTAAAAGTTTTGTTACCGTATATGTTATTTTGGGCTAACTATGGGTGGGGGTTAAATTCATTTTAAAAAGTAATATATACGTAAATTAAAGCAGCGAAATAATTTACCCCCAACGTTACGTACGTATTCATTCCATCTGCTTTAAATATAGTAGAAGCATTTAACACACAATTTGGAAATACTAAGCAGTGCACAGTCAGTACATTATACAAAATATTTGTTTACGGGAAAGAATGAGCAGTTCTTGATATGATCAAACTTATTTTTTTAATCAGAAACTAAAAGCAAAATATGATAATACAGGTATCCTTGGAACATAGGACGTTTTTTTTCCCACAAAATTGCAAATTCCCTAAATTTGAGATGCCTGTCATATTAAGCAAATATGCTTTTTGGACTTCGTATTTTGCCACGGGGGGTTATATGATATGTTAGATAGGTATCGCAGGTTATTCATTCATCTCTGACGATGGTAACCAGAACAGCGAACCAGCTGTTTCGTCAATGCTAAGTTGAAACATTTGCATTATAGAAAAACAATTTTTTGGCACATCAAACGTCATAACACAAGTGGAAATGAGTAACTGGTTTCTTAAGTCTGAACTGCTGTTTGTAGTTATGCTCAGGTCTAAACTGCTCACCGGTTAATTTCTATTGCTTATCAATCTAATTAATTTAAACTATGTTTTTAAAAAGATAATGCTGTAATAAACCAAGATGCTTATTTCTGAAATGCTCTAAACTAGAACATACTGATCTTGACCCCATGAAATGGGTCACCAGTGAATGCCAGAGAATTCTTTTCCAGTGAAATTTCTACAAGGGAAGAAAATATTAATTTATAAGTGTCCTTAAATTGCTGCTGTGCTTGTAAAATGAAATTAGTTTATCCAATGCTGTTTTCCAACTGCCTTGACTGATTTAGATGTAATTAAAAATTAATAATTTTTAAAATATAACGGAAGTGCAGGTCAGCATCAATTTGGAAGTGATTAGTCACTGCAAGTGTAATTCTGATTTTCTGATGGAGGTACCAAAAAGCTATCAATAGCTTTTAAGTCAGCTAGTGAATCCCTTTCTTGTCTCCCTCAAGATCTGATAGATCCATCAGGTATTAGTGACTAAATGATGTTGTAGAATATTTTAGAGAGTACCCATGGGGAATATTTCAAGCAGATTGGTTGCCTGGGATTCATTCTAAACTCTCAGTGGGCATCAACTTCATTTAGAGGGAGTCAGAGCTATTTTCTGGGAAATTACATAAAAGGCAAGGAAAACACGAAAACAGTTTAAACCAGTTTAAACCTATAAATATCAGCTCAGACCTTAGAAACCAGTTGCTCATTTCCACTTGGGTTATGATGTGTGACATGACAAAAAAAACGTGTTTTTCTATACTGCAGAAGTTTTAAATTTTAGAATTTATCAGAAAAAAAGGCTAAACCATATGCAAACTACCCTAAATTAGGATAGCTCAATGAGGTCTGGTGTTTGATGTATATATTTTTTTTCTACTGAAAACATGTTTTGGAAGGAAAGTTAGGTGTTCGGCACAATTATCTCTCCCACCCAACCACCTAAAAAGTTTAAAGCAAAAAAGCACAGAATTCACGCTGAAACCACGAATCTCCTGTTCCAGGAGCACATTTACCAGCTATTTCCTCTTCCTGGTTTAAAACAAACTGGTGTCTTACTGATAATTAATGACAGTGTTAATGTTTTACAGAGGCATGCAGCTGAAGCTTTTTGGAGAATCTCATACTGTGCTGCACAACCTGAATATAGCACTTAATAGTCAGGCAGTGATCATATAATCAAGAGCAAAGAATGATTTTTATAGTAAATAATTAAAATTATAATGACATTTATATAACATTTTATAATAACACGCATACATAAAAAGGTAACATTTTCATCATATTCTGAAAGTTCAAAGAAAACCAATGGCAATAGCACTTCTATTAGCTGTTAAATAACACAAAGTCTATCCTGATCCCAACCTGTCCCATTAATTTACAGTCTAGATATTCTCTTTGGTTCAAGAAATTAAAAACTTGAGAAACCAAGGTGAAGTTAACTCAAAGTCAAAGCTGTTTCATTCACACTACATATTAAAAAAACGTACAGCTAAAAAAACAGCTTTAAACTAGCTAGTTTTAAAATCGTTTTTATATGCCATGTCAATACAGCTATTAATCTGTCTTATCAGTAGTATTTATTTCAGCTGAGGTGTGTACCTCAGCTATGAACTTAGCTGTTACATTGCATGTTCTACAATTCTCTTTACAAGATAGAATTTCTCTGTCACACAAATAGCCATTCTGTACTTTTAGGTTCATCTTTTGAGTTTAGATTACTAATCAAATGTTTTTTTTTCATTTGATTGTGCTGCCTATTTATAATTCATAGCCATCTTTTTGGAAATAATTAAGAGTGCTGTCTTGTGGAGCTTACAGCCTGGAGATTAAAGAATACCAGGATCACAGGCGTTGTTAATGAGGTACTGATTTCCACCAAGTAACAGATGGAGAAACATGAAAGAAAACAAAAAATGGACAAAAAACAGTGATTCTCGATATTACAAAAGTGGAACAAAGATAAAAAAAAACAACACAGAAAACTTCATCAAAGTGAATGAGAGTCTGAATCTTTTTCAACAGGGAATTCAAGCTTCAGCAGCATTTGTCTTAATCATAAGAAAGTGATGGGGTCTCATCTCTCCCAGATGATAGCAGCTGGATCCCCAGTAGATTGATGAAGATGGCTCATTCCGTTCCATGTGTATTTAATACTCTGAAAGGGAAAGCTGCTTTGCTGAAACCAAGGAGTCATCAATCTTTTTTCTTCTTTGAGCAAGTTATGTAGCCATCGTAAAAGTAATCTATAACATGCACAGCTCTTCCTGTCTTCCCTGGGTGAGACACTGCAAAGGAGTAAAAAGGAGAATTGAACTGGGGGAGGCCGGAGTGGGAGAGTCGGAGGAAACTGTAGTGTAGCTACCGTAGGACGATGGATGTGGCGGACTTCTGGTGAAACCCTAAAATAAACAGGGATGGAAAAGGTTTGCAAAATCTTATGCCATCAGTTTCAATGTCGAAGATTTTTTTCAACATTTCTCCTGTTTTCTTAGCCAGCTGTTTATACCTGGAATCCTGCTCATCTTCAGTCTATACTGGTTTGTAGAGCTGGGCCCAGAACACAGAGAAAGTACAGTGGAGGCAGTGTGAAGCAGAGAGGAGTGTAGCAAAGAAGGATGTAAATCATAGGAAATCATAGCAAAGCAAAGTCTTAATATTAGCATGGCCAAAATACATGAAAACTAAAAATACCGAGCAGACAATAAAAAAAAATGACAAGGGATTGTTTTTTATTTGCCAGTTAGCTACTGTATAACAAAGTCTAAATATTGCTGTGTATAAGGGATCCTTTTCAGTTGATCATTTTGCTATTTCAGTTCTAGCTGAAAGACAGAACTCCAGGTTCTAGATATCGCTTTGCAGGTTTGCAGACACTTTTTGGCTAGCTGCCCATTTGCACCACCAGCAGAGCCTCAAATTCATAAAAATTCTGACTAGAAGACCCTCTGGCAAAACAGCTTGTTTTAGTCAATTAAATTAGTCAGACAAATTGGACACAGTGGGCCCGGACTAACCTGAGACTTTCAAGTTTTGATCTTAGCACCAGTATAATAAATTGAGATGATGCAAGAGGTTGACGTCAATCTTATTAATTGGTGAACCAGATCAGCTCCAATATTGGCCTTCAGATATTAAAGCCTGCTCGAGATAGTACATACTACATATAGTTTGCTCACACGCAATAATGCAGGTCTTCAAAATCGTCACATGCCTTAGAAGCCGCTGGTACTTATGTTTACATTTAAAATTTAATCAGTCAGAGCCTGTTTGCCTCCTGCAACATCCCACTTTTATCTCTCTCTCATGAAGTCCCGTTTGCAAAACCAGCACGTCAGTTAGCAGAACTCAACCAATGACACACCGGGCAAGGCGAGCTAGCTTCCAGCTGTATCACATCTGGCCGTTAATATAAACATCATGGCCTATAAAATCATGCCATTTCCTTAATTACTATTCCTGTCATTTCCGCCCTAAATGAAAAGTTATTCATTCCCGTCCAAAACAAACACACATCGCCAATCCTTTGCGGAGAGCCCGGGCAGAGGCTACAGTCAGCCATCCGCTTACTGCCATTGTGTGGAACAAATTCCACACTTACAGGAGAAAACCCAGTCTTTCCGAGTCAAAGCCCGAGATCTGCACATGCAAGTGGCACACCCTGAAAACGTGCCGCTTCTGGGGTGTGAATCCAGCCTTGCGAGCACTTCCGTTGCTCACTGCTGGTTTAATATAGATTTGGGTGATAATTGTCTGTCTGGTCTTCGCCCACGAGCTGCAGGGATTTCTCTTTTCTGGATCTTGGCTGCACAAGTCTCTTGCTTCACATCTTATGTTCGATTGGCTGTTTGCTTATTTGTTTTGCTGTCCACACCAAGCTATGTTAAGTACAGTACTGTACGTTCTCAATTATACAAGGTGTATGTGTGTGGGGGCTACTGCTCACCCAAACTCCATCTTTGCAGTGTTATAATCTGGACTCCGCCTGACTGTGACTTCATGAGATACAGCAGGCTGTTAGTACTGTCATCATTCTGTTGTAGAAGTCAGAAAACACAAGCTGCTCAAGTTTGCTCCACTATCCTGATTCACTGACTGGGATCAGATGGCCAGCCCTTCTAACATGTGACTTTATAAACATATCAGCTGGCGCCAGCACACACAAAAACTATTCATATTTCAAAATATATGAAATGCAAGGTAAGGGCTGCCAATGTGTGGAAAACAAGCATCTTTAAACAA